TCAGCCTTTTCAAACAGCCTCAAAGCTGCTGGCTGTATTTGTTAAATGGCATGTATGTTTGATGCTTTTTCTCCATTTGCATTTAATATTTAGTAATACAAAATGGAGGCATGAACCACAGCTTCCAAATAAGAAATTTAAATTTAATCATAACATTAAAATCATTTAATCCCATTTCTAGATGACCTCACCAGCATAAAAAGACAAACACATAAAGATGTTCAATCCAGAATTATTTCTTTTAGCCAAACCTGGAAACCAAATCAAAGTCCCTTAGTTAGGGATCAACACTAGTTAAGTTATATTACGCACAATAGGCTACTGTGCAGACATAAAAATAGTGTAGATCTGTACCTACTGACAACTATTATGATCCACTACATACTGCTGGGTAAGAAAAGCTCTTTATAGAAGATCATGTATAATATGATCCCATTTGAAGGGAAGTATTAGTACAGTATAGCACTTCTCAAACTTTCTGGTCTCAGGAGTCCTGTAGACCGAAAGATTATTGAAGACCCCAAAGAATGTTTGTTTTGTTTATGTGAGATATACAGTATAGATAAAGATATACTGTACTAGAAAATAAAACTAAGTCTGTCTCTCAATTTTTCTGTGAACCTAAAACTGCTCTAAAAAATCTTTAAAAAAAAACCTTAAGAATTAAAAAGTTTATTTAAAAATAACAATACAGAACCCATTACATATTAACAAAATAATATATTGTATGAAAAACAACCATATTCCCCCCAAAATTAGTAAGAGCAGTATTGTTTCACATTTTTGCCAATCTCTTTTTAACATCTGGCTCAAAAGATTCGGCATTACAGCAAGTTTATTAGTTTATTAGGGCTGGCATAACAAAACACCACAGACCGGGTGGCTTAAACAACAGAATTTATTTTCTCAAAGTTCTGAAGGCTAGAAGTCCAAGATTAAGGGGTTGGTAGATTTGGTTTCTCCTGAGAAACCTCTCTTCCTGGTTTGCAGATGGCTGCCTTCTTGCTGTGTCACACATGGCCTTTCCTCTGTGCATGCACATATCTGATGGTTTTTTGCTGTTGTTGTCAAATGATCCTTTATTGAAGAATTTTCCTTGTTGTTCTTAACTAGCTGAGCATTCCACCGCACCACTGCTGATGTCATCCGTGACGTCACGATGGTGGTGACCATCAACATTGCAGTCCACACTGGGCAGTCCCTGGGATCTCTTTAATGGTTCCAGACAGTTCTTGAGCTAAAGGTAAGTGCCACATCTGGTGGGCAATGTTGACAATCTCATCAAAAATTATTATTTCCATTGCACTTAATGTTTTTCTGTCTCGGTCATTCCTCAAGGGCTTTGATGATCAGGGCAGAGGCAGAAGGAACTTCCTCAGTCTGGCCCTATCTATTCTCAATGGTCAGTTTGAGTGTAATTCTCAGACCCTTCCAATCACTGGCTGCTAGGCAATACCATCACCAAACTTTCTTGAAGACAGACCCAGGGGGCCGATCTTGGGAACTAGGGGTGCAATGTTTCTTTGTGTGTCCAAATTTCCTCTTCCTGTAAGGACACCAGTCAGACTGGCTTAGGGCCCACCCTAAGAGCCTCAGCCTCACTTTAACTTAATCACCTCTTTAAAGGCCCCATCTCTAACTACATTTTGAGGTATTGGGGGGTTAGGGCTTAACATATGAATTCTCAGGGGACACAATTCAGCCCATAAAAGCAGGTGTAACTGGAAATAGCTAGTAAGAGCACAGAAGTACTGACAGCAAACAGAATTAATCTCTAAAAACACATATCTATAACCTAAACCTACCAACTTATAAAATTCTAGAAAACACAAAAATAAATAAACATAGTATTCCATTAACCATCAGTGTGATGATGTTACTACATGACACAGTCTCTGGAAAACTCCATTATACACTCAGGAGAGAATTAGAGTGAAAAAGGCAAGTTGTATCCTAATATTTTTATCAAAATAGTAGGACCTCACCTCTTCCACAAAGGATCTTAGGGACTCCCAAGGGTCCACAGACCACATTTTAAGAACAGATACAAGCTGTATAACCTCAGGCATATTTCTTAACCTTGTTAAACCTTAGTTTCTAAAATGAGGATAATGATAACACTAACTTAAGTGGGCTTGTAAAGATTTAATGAATTAATATACAAATAAATGACAAATGTGAGCATTCTGCTAACATTAGCTGTTGTTATTTGTAAAAAAAACACCTAATGACATCATATATGTGCTTAAATATATTCAGAGTAACCTCTGGATGAGGAAATTTATTTTTTAAATATTTAAACTGAAGTATAACATACACTCTAAAAAAGGCATAAAGTATAATGTGTATAAGCTTGATTTTTCACACAGTGAACTTATTTTAATCTTTGTTTAAGAGATCATTTTATTAACTGCAACAAAAAAGCTATAGGTAAACAACCACAAGAGCAGCCCTTTTCCTCACCGATATACAGCATCCTTGGGCTTGGCCATCCATCTCCCTGTAGGAATCAAGAGAGAATCGAAGAGGTGTTCCTTATCTTAATACCCCTCTAGTGCCATCAGGTTCCCTTTGCCTCCAGGAAAAAGGCACAGAGCAAAAGCAACGCTGAACCAACTTTTGTATCATTATGAAGCTGGATTCTCATCAGAATCCAGTTTAGTAAACTCTGGAGCTCACTTAAAAAATAGCCATGATCAGTAATGCTGATCACGTCTCTATGATAGGTATGAAGTTCATTTGGGGGTAAGTCATTGTGCCCCATCCAAATAAAAAAAACATAAAAATTATTCTCCATAACAAAGTTCATTATATAACAATAAAGATCTTGTGTAATAATTGTGGTGAGACTTTTTTTTTCCCTCCTCCTCTTAGAGATGTTGAGGGTGAAGTCAGTGACTCAAAAGCCAGCTGGAGCAATGTTAGGTGCAATTTAACGCGATTTCAGTGCAGAATGAGTTGCAAAGTGGTAGTACTAACAGAGACTGGATTATAAACACAGAAGCAAATCCTCCAACCTTTACTCCATTACAGTTTGGAGAGGAGGCCTAGAATCCTGAAAAATTCATTTAGCCTCATCAAAAATTATTTGCTAATACTGTTGCTCTTTCTTAAAAGTTCTACATCAAAAACACCTGCTATGCCCTCTTCTACAACAGTAGTTAAAACAAGTACTTTCTTTAGTTACAGTCTCAAAAATTTATCAACTGGCTTCTAGAAAGAAAATTTAAAACATAAAAATTTATTTTCAATTCTACCAATACCTACCCACTTACAAAATTCTACAAAACACAAAAATACACAAACACACACTCCATTAACCATCAGAGTGATGATGTCACCATATCACGTAGCTGCTGGAAAACACGGTACAATCAGAGAGAATGACAGTGAAAGAGCAAATAACTTGTGAAAAACTACTTAACAACATGGTAAGGACTTAAATGCATGGTTACCTTTAAATACTAAATAACACAATTTCCGATTCTGTTAAGCAATTAGTATTTGATATACAAAGTTACATTTTCCAAAGACAAAACTTTTTTTTTTAATTTACTAAAAACACAAGTCATACCTCTGATACCCAAAAGAAGACATCTTTTCTTCCTGGCCAATGCTGCCCAATGGCAGCTGTCAGAAAGAAACCAGTAAGCAAGAAGCAGCACCGAGATGAGACGAGGGCACTGGACTCCACAGCTGACTTCACTATTCAGTGCTATCCCTGGGAGCACTCATTCCCACACGCCATCTAACAATCAGCAGTGAGCGAGGCAAAAGCTCAACTTAAATAAGTAATGAATATTCCCAGCAGAAAGCTCTTTTGGAAAAACTAACCCTGCAGACACCAATATGTAAGTCCTGGATGAATAACAGAGCTCTGCCAGTGAATAAGTGATGGCAGCACGGTATGCCAACACACACTGACTAAGGGGTCAAACTAAAACTATATCGTAACACTAAAAGAAAAACACAGTTACTTCAGAAATGCATTTATTACAAATGATCTGTGCAATCACACTGATAAACAAATCTCTGAGTGTCATACACAGTCCTTCCCATGTCGTGGCCTTAGCACACGGGATTCTGAATCAGACTTCTCAAACAGACAGTAAGAACAGGAATGAAGGAGACAGAAAAAGAGAAAGAGGCCATGGAAGCAGACAGGCTGTGAGGAGGGGGAGACAGAGGGGACAGTGGGCTGGAGCTGATGGGCAGGGCAAAGCTGTGCTGGAAGCCCCCCTCCCCATGCTGGCCTGCAGCAAGGAAGGAGTGCCCTCTGTGGCTGACACTCTCCCAGGGAACTTTGCACAGCCCTGCTGATATTATTGCTTCAAATGCTGCTGCCCGGAGAAGTAACCAGGAACAGAAAAGAGCTACAGTAATGCAAGTCCATCAGTGCCATGGGAAGGGGAGGGTTAGGGGAGGGTGAAAGAACAGGATACTAACAAACACAAAAGGTACCAACTTCAGAAGAAAAAGGACAGATCAAAGTAAAGGGTAAAAATTTTAACTTACTTTGTTAAACATAAAATTCTGAGTAGTAAAGGAATTGAGAATGGGGTCTCAAAGAGATACTTGTACAGCCATGTTCATAGAGCACTATTCATAATAGCCAAGAGGTGGAAGGAACCCAGTTTCCCTCAACGGAAGACTGGATAAACAAATATGGTACATTGGGCCCTCCATATCCATGGTTCCACATCCACGAAGTCAACCAACTGCAGATCAAAAATATTCAGAAAAAAAATTTCAGAAAGTCACAAAAAGCAAAACTTGAATTTGTTGTGTGCCAGTAACTATTGACCTGGCATTTACACTGTATTTGGTATTATAAATAATTTAGAGATGATTTAAAGTATACAGGAGGAGGGGGAGGATATAGCTCAAGTGGTAGAGCAAGCATGCAAGAGGTCCTGGGTTCAATCCCAAGTAGCGCCTCTAAAAATAAATAAACCTAATTACCCTCCCATCAAAAATTTTTAAAGGAGGGAGGTATAGCTCAGTGGTAAAGCAAGCATGCACGAAGTCCTGGGTTCAATCGCCAGTACTGCCATTAAACAAACAAACAAACAAACATAACACCTCCTCCCTCCCACCCCTCACAAAAAATAAAGTATACAGGAGGGTATGCATAGGTTCTATGCAAATACAATGCCATTTTATATAAGGGACTTAACATCCAGATATGGAGGGAGGTCCTGGAAGCCAGGGAAACTGAGGGGTAACTGTATACACATACAGTGGAATATTATTCAGCCTTAAAGAGGAAGCCCGGTCACACGCTACAACATGGATGCACCTTGAGGACATCACGTTAAGCAGAATAAGCCAGTCACAAAAAGACAAATACTGTATGATTCCACATATATGAGGTATCTTAAGTAGTCAAATCCACAGAAATAGAAAGCAGAATGGGAGTTAGCAAGGGCTTGGGGGAGAGGAGAAAGAAGAGTTGTTTAAGGGGTTTCCGATTTTTAAGATGAAAAAGCCCTGGAGATATTTCACAAGACAAATATACTTAACACTAGTGAACTGTACTCTAAAAAATGATTAAGAGGGTAAATTTTATGTTCTGTTTTTTATCACAATAAAAAATATTTTGGGGTAGTGATTTAAAGTTAAGAGTACAAGGGGAAAGGGAAAAATACAAACCTTCTAGAAACTGTAGACATTTGACCTAGGTACAGAGATTAATAAGATCACACATCTGTAATTCTCTTTTAATCATTAATACAAAAGAGTTCAATGGTGGGGGCAAAATCAGTAGGTATAGAAGGAATAACGCGAATGTGAGCTCCGGTGGGCTTCAGAGGTACATTTCCGGAGAAGAGCTTTGGAAAGAAAGGCAGACCCTGTGAAAGATGAACACGCCAAAGGTTATAGGCATTAAGTTCTCACCCTGTGCCCACAGCCATCTTGGCTGATTGTCTGATAACTGTGGCCAACCATTAGACAGCATGGTGTCCTCAGGGAACCACCCAGGAAAGTTACCACCCAAATTTCCACATCCCTCCTTGGCAATTAAAATGATACTTTTCCTTAGCACCTTGTCAGGATGTTCAATTTCGAGTGCTTCCAGAGATCCACCTCAGGAGAAGTCAATCTGTCCACAGGAGGCATAGTTTCCAAAGCTGTCTACTGAGAACCTCTGAGAGATGTGAACTGAATTGAGCTTTAGGGTACCGAAGTAGAAGTTCTCAAAGAGCTGAAAAGGAAGAATAAAAACCCAGAATGAATATCCAAAGAACATCACAGATGAAAATATTAAATGTGAAAACACCACAATAATCCCAACAAAGTCCTGTGCTTTCTTGTCAGTATTTATTCTGAAAAAAGATCCTGGAGAGTGGGGATGGGAGTGAGAACGGAACAGCAGCTCTTCTCTGATTAGTTGAATAGCCTCCTCTGACAAAACGCACTAGAGAAAGGAGTCTGAAAAGTCAATTCCAAAATGAATCTACTGAGCAGATATGATCAAGAACTTGTAACAAACATCCCAGGGCCATACCCTGATACACAGACCTACCAAGGCTGCTCCTGTGACTTTCAGTGACTGAGCAGGGAGGATGTTAGTTCTGTTACAGCCAGGATAAAATTTGATATAATACATTCCTCCACCTAGTCAACATTTATTAGAAACACTAACTAAAATAAACAGAAGATAAGGTTCCTGCCCTACAAATGATTCGGATAACCCACTGAGGAATATAGAATACTTACACACACCAAACAGCCAGAGGAACACTTCTACTGGATGATAAAACAAGTACAAATGATAATATTTATCAAAAACCTTTCATTAGGCTTTGGATTCAAGCCAGCATCCTAAAGTAAATGCTCTTTATTACAATTCTTATTTAAAAAGCTTTCAACTTTGTCAGAGGGAGGGATGAACCACACTCTGAGAAAGACCTATTCTGGTGATTAGCACATTTACAAGACAGAATCCAAAATGACATCAGAATTCATCCCAGAAAATTAAGCCACACTGCTTAGATAACGAGTGTCAGAAGAGTAATGGGCTGACCTTCTTCTGTTAAGATGCAAGAACTGCTCTTTTTTAAAATGTCAGTAAGATCCCGAGAAAGCCTTTCAATACACAAACCAACAATGCTTGAACAGAACCTGAGGGTGAGACCTTTGCACATTAGCAAGAGACTGTCTTGTCTCTTCACTTATTTTTATACAATTTCTGCACCATGGACTCCAGCCACTGTCGCCTTTCCTCTTCCTGCAATTAATGGCCTAGCAAAATGCCTGGGGTTCATTAAAGGCTAACTTTATAAAGCCCAGTAAATATTGATTCTTCAATATGGCATCAACTTGACCCCAAAGATCTATTTAGAGGCTGTGCGCTGCATTGTCTTGTCTTTCAGAAAGGTGATCAGCTCTTGTCTGCACTGATTTACACAATTAACTTCTCTTCCTGGCTTTGGCAGCCTGTTCAAACCATATCCACCCTTTTGTGTAAAGAAATACAGCCTGAAATATTTATCGGCTAATCCCTTTGCTGAACATTAATTTGAAGTGAAAGTCACGTCGACAAGACTGACAGATTTATAGCTTTGCAAACTGAAGCCTTCTAGATACAAAAAGACATAACCAAAGGGGCAACAGAAGACAAAACAAAACTACAAGGGAACTCATAATACTTTCAACAGATTACTCTTCAGGGACTAGCAGCCTATGAATCCTCTACCTTCTTTTCTCTGTGCCTGTGTTTCCAAGTGGTGGAGAGACCACAGCTAGGAGCTGGAAAGTGACTTACCTCCAACTTCACCTTGCCTTGTACTTATAACCCCCAGATGGCATGATTTGCTAGGAAGATTTCTCATGCTTTGAGGTTTAAAGCAAAGAGCAAATGGTGATAATGAAGTTAGCTGGGATGTGATTTCAATGCAGTAATTACAAAAATTAAGAGAGAAGACTGAAAACAAATTCTCATGCTCCCTTAAGGCAAAAGCAGCTGGTGGAAAACGTGAAGTCAGTCTAAACTTAGGCCAGGCACACGGGGCTGGGTAGCTGTGGGGAGACGACACCACCCACTGCATGAAATCATGAGGGCAAAGACTCAACTGATGAACAAGTCAAAGTACCTCCCTTGTAAACTGTAAACCACTACTGAAAATTACATACTTCTATGGTGTTAATAACATCTCTCTGCTCTTCTTAACCTGTCCTTATTCTACCTTCATAGTTGCCATCTTCTTCCATACCTTCTGATAATGTCATAATCAAATGGATTTCTCATCCAAAGTCCCTACTGCAGTGCCAAGCCTCGTTTTAGCCTTTGTCTCTGTGTTCTTGTTCTGTGTGTTTATAATGATTCAGTAACAAATTTTTCGTAGTTATTTTATTGTTTAGTCATTGTTGTATCTTTAATCCTAAGTCCTTCTTTTAGTTCTGCCAATTATTTCTAGTGACTCATTAAAATATAAGCTTTACAGAAGAAGGATCTTTTATGTTTTTCAAAGCTGAATGCTACTGTATGCTGTTACTGTATCTAGTAGACTGCATATGATCAATAAGTATTTGCTGGATAAAATAACAAAAATGAATGTTGTAGATGTCTGTGTACTTCATGTTGGAAAAAAAAAACTATGATGTGGTCTTGTTTAGATGGATTTTAAAATCTTATTTATAGATTGCCACCCAGGAATCCTTGAACAGGACTTACCTAAATGGTATTACCTCTAATCATATCTCAGTTGGAACTAGTTGTCAAGAAAGAATTTATAGGTAGTAATGGAAATTTTACATATTCCTTTACATTTCTATGTCTCTCTCATTTGTCAAAGCCTAGTCTAAGCTCACATTTCTGATCTGGAAGTCACTGAGCACCTGATGTTGTGCATTTTCATGTAAAGAGACGTATGACATGGTTCTGTCTCCCAGGCACTTGCCATCTGCTACGGGAGACGGGGCATGTGTCAGAACAGAAGCATGCTGATGATATGAGTGTGTGTATCTTATGAAAAGTTACTGTATTATGTATTCAATTAAAAAGTTTACCTAAAATAATACAGGAGGAGAGGTACAGGCAATGAATAAATGCAGTGGGAGGTAAGAAAGCAAGAGACTTAGAGGGCTGAGGTATCTAGATAAATCACCTGGAAGAGACAAAAATAAGCTGGGCCTTGTAGCAAGTCTACGACTTAGTGGAGAAGAGGGAGGGCAGCATCAGGGGAGAAATGGGTATGGAGGGCCAGGCTGAGTAGACCAGGTTATATGTTTGGAGGGTTCTTAAAAAGAAGTGGTGAAAAAGACTAAGGTTACAGCCATAAGGAGGATGAGTCAGACTAAATGGGGCCCTGGGGGTCAGGTTCAGAAGTTACACTACATTCTAGACCAGGGGTGGGGGAGCACTGAAAGCTTCTGAGTAGGTTGGTGGCCCAAGATGAGAACATATTTTAGGGAAATGAATCTGGGTGTGGTATACTGTGCAGACTGGAGAAAGGAACCCGAGAAGAAAGAAAAGGAGACAGGGTAGCAGTTAAGTCGTGAGACCCTGAGTGTCTTAACTAAAACAGTAGTAGTGGGCTTGGAAAGACTGGAGCAGATGTGAACTACTATAAACGAAACACAAAACACACTCTGTGGTTTTCTAGATGAGAGGAAAGAGACAGGAAAAAAAAAGGTGAACTCGTAGCACAGTTAAGTGTAAGTGCATCACCATAAAAAAACTTCACAATTGTCTTTGTTTCTATTGAGTAGTAGTTCTTTATACATTATGGAAATGAACCCTCTGTCTGTGTGATGAACTGCAAATATATTTTCCCCTCAACTTGTCACTTGTCTTTTGACTTTGCTTTTGGTGGTTTTTACTGTGTCAATTTAAATTTTTATAAACTCAAACGTAACAGGATATTTTTTAAAAAAGTTACCCAATGCCAATATTGTTCTATATTAAAAGGTCAGAACACCAAATATATAACTACTGACAGCAATGCTAATAAAATAAAGATCTTAATGGCCAAAGTTTACTGAGCAAGCATGTATGCCAGGCATGATACCTGGGGCTCCAGGACTGCCTCCTCACAGCCCCAAGAAGCAGATACTATTATTAATCCTCATTTTATCCTTGAACCTGAGGCTTAAAAGGCTAAAGTAACTTGCCCAAGAATACACAGCAAGCAAACAGTGAAAAATTGAAATTCATTACACTGGAAAAGAAAAAAATTAAGACTCAAACCCAGGTAGCCTAACTCTAGAGTCCGAGCTCTTGACAGCCTGCACTCTCCGGCCTCTCCCAGTGGCCAGTGCCCCTCCAAACACGGCCCTGTTGAGACCACGATGAGGAAGCCTGGCTCACAAAACCCCCAAAGATTGAAATGAACACATTCGTGCATGTGTTCTTCCTGCTTTCACCATCACCTCTTATCCCGGACCTGGTTAAAAAAAATTAGATGGCTCTAGTTCAGCTAGAAGAATTTTAATTGAATTCTGGATGAAAATAAGCACACATCAACTAAATGGCTCCATTTAATTCCATACCTGAATGCAGAAGAGGAGAAAGCTCAAACTACAAGTTTAAAAAAAGAAAAAAGGAACCTGGTTGCTCTTTATAGCCTAAAGTAGTTTAAGAAGAGCAAAGTGGTCCATTGTTTAGAAAATAAAAGAGCTCACAGGGAAAATTTAAATTAAAAAAGAACCATGGCCAGGTATTTAAGTCGTGTTGAGATTTTTTTCTCCTCACTGTTGTTTTATAACAACTCCCTTGGGGATTTTGGAACCTAACCCACTTTCTTACCAAAAACATTTCTTTCTCTGACACGCACACATAGAGCCCTGTTGTGTTGGAAGCCAGCATTTATCAAAGCTGCACAAAGGAACAAAACAATGAACAGCTGCACAAAACTACAAATATTTGATAAGGAAATAAAAATAGAATTTAAGAATGCCAATATTTGTGATATCACTTGTAGGTAATATGTAGACTTGGACAATTTAAGAAGAAAATTTTAAACTCAAGTAAGTATAAGCATGACATTTGAAAACTGTTATGTGTACAGCTGCTGTCCTTCATTGATTACAGTTATCTTCAGAAAGTTAAACAAACTTTTCCTATCACCAAGTACAGAGACAAACGTGGACCATCAAGATGAAAGGTTTCTGGTCAAAACCAAAGCTTCCCTGACAGAATCTCAAGACACAGATCCAACGATCCTGCTGTCCTCTCCTCACATGACCATTTAGTTTGTACAC